TTACACATTCAAGGAAAATTAGTCACGAACTGACCAGAGCTGTGTAACCGGAAGTGTCCCTCTGGTTCGGGTCTGTTCCCTTCCGGACCATCGACTTGACACGGGCCAGGTCTCCATCAAACGCCGCGGACCAGATACCTGCACACGGAGAAACATTTTGGTCACATGGTCTCTATCTCTTTCTCCTTATTGGTCAAATAAAGTTGTTTTTTTTATTTCCAAAATTACCGAGAAAAACATAAACAAATAAAAAAAAACAGAGGTAGCGGTCGGTCGGTTTTATACAGCGACACACACTTCCGGTTTACGGAAGTACAGTACGTGGAGTATGATTTCGTAGTAAAACCGCGGAAATATAGACAGAATGTGACGTGTTTGTTTTTATTTTTATGTTTTGTTTTTTTGGTAGAAATATTTTTTTAAAACCTCGTTCGAAGTCCATTTCGTCCATGGTCTGGTAAACACTGGGAGAAGACCGCGGCTCAGAGCCGCACGAACAATGTTGTCCGTGCGACGCCATTTTAACTCTACAACCCGGAAGAATAAATTACCGGTTTCCGGTTTAAAAAAAACAACAACTAACAAACCGACGTCAACTTAACTACAAGTCATAGACTTTTTTTAAAAAAACGGGACGATAAAAGAAAACACATCTTCACGATAGTGTCTGCGGCACTTCCGGTTTTTCTTCTTCTTCTTCTTCGGGTGTAGTAACGGCGACGTCTTTCCGCCGCGAAACCGTGAGGTAGAGTTTCCTAAACACGCGAGAGCCCGCGCAGAGATGGCGTTGTCAAGTCTGATAAAAACAAAAAAAAATTTCAAAAAAAAACGGTCACTTTGAGTCTGTTTTCTGTAAATTAAGGATTCGTTCCTGCGACTGAGAGAATGACTACTGCCCCAGCTGGACAAAGAGAGGAAGTACAGACGAACATAACAGAATCAGAGACACTCACAGTTCATATCGTCCCCTGGTTAGTGAGTGTGACGCGTTTGCTCGTTTCTCTCGCGAGATTTGGCAACATTCTCCCAGATAAATCCGCAAAACGCAGCAGGTTTGTCTCGCGTTGTTATCCGCTGCAGCTAACGGATAACTGTAGCTAACAGTCCCGACTAACCTCCCCCCCCCCGCCGCCACTCTTACCCCTACCTACCCTCCCTCCCTCCGCAGCTGTCAGGGACGGAGCCGGGACAACTGACTGAACGACGTTCGAGTCCGCTTCAACAAAGTCCACGGAGAATGAGAAGAGTGACGCTGTTCATTAACGGGACGTCCAGGAATGGAAAGGTGGGTGTCCGCCAGCCCGCCCGCGGGAGGCCGCGGAGGGGGGGGGGTGGAGGGTGGTGGAGGTCCGGGGCCGCACGACGGCTGCTCTAGTTCCGCGGAAGACGGAGAAGTGATGAACCGTTATTATTATAGTAACATTAATAATAATAATGACTGGAAAGTCGCCATTTTGTTGACGTCATTCTAATAAAGCGGCGAATGTAGCGTCGCTAGCTCGTCGCTATCGATGCTACGTCATTATCAACACAGTTATCATAGTAACATTAATAATAATAAGATTATTATTAATAATTATTATTATTGTAATAATTATTGAAAAAGTCGCCATTTTGTTGACGTCACTCTAATAAAGCGGCGAATGTAGCGTCGCTATCGATGCTACGTCGTTATTAGTCACCGTTATTATCATAGTAACATTAATAATATTATTAAAAATAATAATTAATAAATATTATTATTATTATTGAAAAAGTCGCCATTTTGTTGACGTCACTCTAATAAAGCGGCGAATGTAGCGTCGCTATCGATGCTACGTCGTTATTCGTCACCGTTATCATAGTAACATTAATAATAATAAGATTATTATTAATAATAATAATTATTATTATAATAATTATTGAAAAAGTCGCCATTTTGTTGATGTCATTCTAATGAAGCGGCTAACGTAGCGTCGCTAGCTCGTCGCTATCGATGCTACGTCGTTATTCGTCACCGTTATCATAGTAACATTAATAATAATAAGATTATTATTAATAATAATAATTATTATTATAATAATTATTGAAAAAGTCGCCATTTTGTTGATGTCATTCTAATGAAGCGGCTAACGTAGCGTCGCTAGCTCGTCGCTATCGATGCTACATCGTTATTAGTCACCGTTATTATCATAGTAACATTAATAATATTATTAAAAATAATAATTAATAAATATTATTATTATTATTGAAAAAGTCGCCATTTTGTTGACGTCACTCTAATAAAGCGGCGAATGTAGCGTCGCTAGCTCGTCGCTATTGATGCTACGTCATTATCAACACAGTTATCATAGTAACATTAATAATAATAAGATTATTATTAATAATTATTATTATTGTAATAATTATTGAAAAAGTCGCCATTTTGTTGATGTCATTCTAATGAAGCGGCTAACGTAGCGTCGCTAGCTCGTCGCTATCGATGCTACGTCATTATCAACACAGTTATCATAGTAACATTAATAATAATAAGATTATTATTAATAATAATAATTATTATTATAATAATTATTGAAAAAGTCGCCATTTTGTTGACGTCACTCTAATAAAGCGGCGAATGTAGCGTCGCTAGCTCGTCGCTATCGATGCTACATCGTTATTAGTCACCGTTATTATCATAGTAACATTAATAAAAATAATATTATTAAAAATAATAATTAATAAATATTATTATTATTATTGAAAAAGTCGCCATTTTGTTGACGTAACTCTAATAAAGCGGCGAATGTAGCGTCGCTATCGATGCTACGTCGTTATTCGTCACCGTTATCATAGTAACATTAATAATAATAAGATTATTATTAATAATAATAATTATTATTATAATAATTATTGAAAAAGTCGCCATTTTGTTGACGTAACTCTAATAAAGCGGCGAATGTAGCGTCGCTATCGATGCTACGTCGTTATTCGTCACCGTTATCATAGTAACATTAATAATAATAAGATTATTATTAATAATTATTATTATTGTAATAATTATTGAAAAAGTCGCCATTTTGTTGACGTCATTCTAATGAAGCGGCTAACGTAGCGTCGCTAGCTCGTTGCCAGCTCCCGGCTCCTCTTCTTTTATTGATTTTAATTTTTTTATTTTTTTATTTCTTACAACATTCAACGTGTGTTTTTATTCATTTATTTCACATTCCTAACATTGCCGTTGCCCCGCCCCCCTCCACCCCCCGCTACTGCCCCAGGTGGTCGCGGTCTACGGGACCCTGTCGGACCTGCTCTCGGTCGCGAGCAACAAGTTGGGAATAAAAGCCTCGTGTTTCTACAACGCCAGAGGCGGACTCATCGACGACATCGCCCTCATCAGGTTGGTAGGGGGCGCTGACGTCGGCGGCGGCGGCGATCGGTCGTCACTGTCGGCCCCGTTTCATCTGTTCATTTCTGTGCCGCAGAGACGACGACGTCCTGTATGTGTCGGAAGGTGATCCGTTCGTCGGTGAGTGACGTCACGTGACGTGTCTCTGGAACGAGGTGTAAGGCAACAGCGCCCCCTGACTGAGATAGCGCTAACGACGCGTTCTTTTACATGCAACGTGTCTGTGAAACCGTGTACTCCGGCTGCTAGCCGTGCGCTAACCAACTCTTCCGTCTTTTCCGGTCCAGATCCTCAGACTGAAACCAAGGTCAGATCGGATTCTCACGGCGCCCACACCGATTGGCTGACGCTCAACATCGGTGGACGCCTCTTCACCACCACCAGGTATTTGGACTAATATTAGCTACGACAGTCCTGGTACAGACACCGGAGCTAACGTTAGCTACGCCAGTCCCGGTGCAGACACCGGAGCTAACATTAGCTACGACAGTCCCGTTACGGACACCGGAGCTAACGTTAGCGACGACAGTCCCGGTACGGACACCGGAGCTAACGTTAGCGACGACAGTCCCGGTACGGACACCGGAGCTAACGTTAGCGACGACAGTCCCGGTACGGACACTAGAGCTAAACGTTAGCTACGACAGTCCCGGTGCAGACACCGGAGCTAACAGTAGCTACGACAGTCCCGTTACGGACACCGGAGCTAACGTTAGCTACGACAGTCCCGGTACGAACACCGGAGCTAACGTTAGCTACGACAGTCCAGGTACGGACACCAGAGCTAACGTTAGCTACGACAGTCCAGGTACGGACACCAGAGCTAACGTTAGCTACGACAGTCCCGGTACGGACACCGGAGCTAACGTTAGCGACGACAGTCCCGGTACGGACACTAGAGCTAAACGTTAGCTACGACAGTCCCGGTGCGGACACCGGAGCTAACGTTAGCTACGACAGTCCTGGTACTGACACCAGAGCTAACGTTAGCTACGACAGTCCTGGTACTGACACCAGAGCTAACGTTAGCTACGACAGTCCTGGTACTGACACCAGAGCTAACGTTAGCTACGACAGTCCCGGTACGGACACCGGAGCTAACGTTAGCTACGACAGTCCTGGTACTGACACCAGAGCTAACGTTAGCTACGACAGTCCCGGTACAGACAACAGAGCTAACGTTTTTTTTTTTTTTTTAAACCAATGAAAATTGTGCCGTATCTGCAACTAGCCTCACGACGTATCGTACGACGCCGTGTCGCGCCGCAGTACTCACGTGTACCTGTGCTGTGCTTTGTGTGTGTTTCCAGGAGCACGTTGGTCAGCAAGGAGCCCGACAGCATGCTAGCGCACATGTTCCAAGACAAAGGTGACGCGCGGGCCGCAACGTTAACGCCGCCGCCGCTAACGTAACGCACAATTTACTAACCGACGCTCAACTCCTCGCAGACGTGTGGGGGAACACGCAGGACGAGCACGGGGCCTACCTGATCGATCGCAGCCCGGACTACTTCGAGCCGATCCTGAACTACCTGCGACACGGTCAGATCATCATCAACGAAGGAATCAACGTACAAGGTTAGCGCGGGGGGGGTTTGTCGTCGTCAGGGAGCGGCCATCTTTTTTTTTTTTTTTTTTTTTTTTTAAATCCTCGCTCTCGCCCCCTACAGGCGTCCTGGAGGAGGCGCGCTTCTTTGGCATCGAGCAGCTAGCGGATCAGCTGGAAACTGCGTTTAAGGTGATTTCAGTTCGTCGAATTGTTGAAGCGGCGACGCCGCGACGACGACGTGACGTTAAAAATCTGCGTTTCCCTGTCAAACAGAACTCCCAGCCGCCCGAGGACCACTCGCCCATTTCCCGCAAAGAGTTGGTCCGATTTCTCCTGGTGACCCCGACCAAGTCCGAACTCCGCTGTCAGGTACGCACTCCAGGAAATACTAGATTCGGACTCATATATATGTATATATATCGCAAATCACGAAAAACTCCGCTCTCTTTCTTCCAGGGCCTGAACTTCAGCGGCGCCGATCTGTCTCGACTCGACCTGCGATACATCAACTTTAAAATGGCTAATCTGAGCCGCTGCAATCTGACCCATGCTAATCTGTGCTGTTCTAATCTGGAGCGCGCTGATCTGTCAGGAGCTAACCTGGACGTAAGTCAGACACCAGAGCTAACGTTAGCTACGACAG